AATGAATGTAATTTGCCATGTTCATACAATAAAGTCATATGGTCATCGTAACATGCAGTAAAAGCATATGACAAAATTCAATATCCATCCTGATAAAATCTTTTAGCAAACTAGGCATGAAAGGGAATTTCTTCCTCCTAATATAGAGTATTTATAAAAACTGTACAGGTAGCATCATGCTTAATAATGGAAGACTGCCTTTTCCCTGGTATCAGGAACAAGGCAAGGATGTCCCCTCTCATCACTTCTATTCATCATTGTTCTAATAATTTAAAAAATAAAGAACATTAAGTTTGGAAAGGAAAAAGTGATACCATATTAACAGATGATATGATTGTTTATGTAGAAATTCTGATCTAATATATTATAAAAGCTATTAGAATAAGTGAATTTTGCAGGTTGCATAGGACACAAGACCGATACACAAAACTCAGTTACATTTCTGTATTCTAACAATGAATAATTGGAAATTCATTAAAAAAATCAGTGTTACCATATACAGTAGCATCACAAATATGAATTACTTAGGGATATGTGAGACCTATAAACTAAACTGTAAAATGGTGCTGAGAAAATTGAAGGAGTACCACAATAAATAGATATACTATGTTCATGAATTAGAAGACAATACTGTTAGGATGTCAATTCTCCCCAAATTCTTCTATAGATTCAATGTAGTCTCAGTTAAAATGCCAGCAGGGTTTTTGGAGAAATTCAAAAGCTGATCTGAAAATGGGAATTCAGAGGACTTAGATAGCTAAAACAACTTCAAAAGGGAACAAAATTGGAGGACTTGCTGTCTGACTCAGAAACTATTTTAAAGCCTGTGTAGTTGAGATGATGTGGTGCAGCATAAAGACAGACCAATAGATCAACTCAGTAGAACAGAAGGTCCAGAAATACATCTGCACATATACCGTCAGCTCACTTTCAACAAGGTGCAAAGGCAATTTGGTGAAAAAAGAATATTTGGTAGAAAAAGGTATTGGTGCATTTGGATCATCATAAGCAAAAGATGAACTTTGGTCCGTACCTGACAACAATATACAAGTAATTGAAAATGATCATAGTCCTAAATGTAAGTCCTAAAACTGACACTTGTAGAAGGAAACATAAGGGAAAATCTTTGTGACATTGGGCTAGACCATGATTTCTTGAGGAGATGTCTAAAGTATGGTCCATAAAAGAAAAAATATTAATAAATTGGCTTTTGTTGAAATTAAGATATTTTGTTCTTTGAAAGATACTGTTAAGAGAATAAAAGGGTAATCCATGGAGAGGGAGAAAATATCTGCAGTCACTTACCTGATAAAGGACTTGTAGTCAAAGTACATAAAGGACTTGCCAAACTCAGTAAGCAAGCAGACAGTCCATTGAGATAATGGGCAGTACATTTGAAGAGATGCTTTGTCAAAAAAGATGTAAATGGATGACAGATAAGTTCATGTTCACATCATTATTTATTCATTAGTGAAATGCAAATTAAAACAATAATGAGGTATCACTAGACACCTATTAGGATGGCTGAAATTGAAAAGATCTCCCATACCATATTTTGATGAAATGTGGATGAAATTTAAACTCTGCCGGCAGGAATGTGAAAGTATACAACCACTTTGGAAAACAGTTTGGCAGTTCCTTAAAATGTTAAATGTACGCCTACTGTGTGACCCCGACAGTCCATGCTCACTTATTTACCCAGTGGAAATGAAAGCATATATCCAAAGACCTGTACATGAGTGTTTGTAACAGCTTTAGTTGTATTAGCCAAGAATTGTGAACAACCCAGATAGCAGTTTGCAGGTGAATGGATGCAATCCAGTAACTAGATTCAATCTGACACAAAGGGACAGACTACTGATACATATCATAGTGTTGAAAAATCTCAAAATGATTGTTAGGTGATAGAAGCCAGACAAAAACACTAGTATGTACTACACTTACCATTTATGTAAAATTCTAGAAAATAGAGTTTTTCAAAGTGTAGAATCAGTGACTGATGGGGAGGGGAGTGGTAGGATTATAAAATGGTCCGAGGAAATGTTGGGGTGATGGATATATTCATTATCTTGATTGCGCTGATGATGTCACTGATGCATGCTTATGTCAAAATTTATGAAATTGTACATTGTAAGGATGTATTTTATTTTATGTAAATTATAATTCAATAAATTTATTAGAGTTAATATTTTAATTTTTTATATATGTTGTGATTTTCTTCATTTTGAACTGATAATTGAGAATTAATTCTAAAACTGCTTTCTTACTTTGGCCCGTGGGTTTTTCCTCAGAGGCTATTCCCTTGTTAACATTTAGTTGTATGGACTGTAATGTTGTTCATTCATGCAACTCATAGTTATTGATTCCTTAGCTCTAAAACCAGCATCGTAGAAAGATGATATATGTCCCATGGACCTTAGATCTAGAGATTTAAAATGATAAAATTTTCAGGCATTGTAAAGAGTATCGAAATTATACGAAATTTTGGAATTTATGTTCTCTAAAAACATTGCAGCATGTTAGATCGACCTAGTTGCTTCCTAGCTCTGGAACAAGAGGATGTTTCTGGACTTTAAGGCTGTCTGTAAGGTAGAGGACCTGCCGTACTGTAGGGATCGGGGTGGCACCCTGACATACCTGGGACAGCACCTGAGATGTCAGGTGCTTAACAAATAGGATACACTGTTTTTTATCATTTCCTCAAGTACTCTGAGACATTTCATTGAACTACAACTATTTTAGACAAATTGACTATATTACCTTTTATCTTTCTAACACAGTTTATGTAAAACTGATACTGTTTTCCAACATACATTAACAAAGCAACATGTAACAATTACAGCTCTTCAGCCCAAAAGAATAAAAGTTTATGTAAGCACTTACGTAATACTAATTATAGTTGTACCTCACATGTTTGGAAGTGACTTACTTGGAAACTAATGAAAATAAAATGCTGTTGAGCATTCAAAGGAGAGTCCAGAGATCATGCACTGACATGTATGAACTTGACCTGGAAGGCACAGCTTTGATCCAGGCCCACTGATTTTTAGTTTAGGCACACTTCTTATGAGCATGTGGATGGTGCCTTTACCTATTGCTTCCCCCATCTTGGGGGAGGAGAGGTTGTTGCTGGGCACATGTACACTACTGGTAACAAGAAATGAGAGCTGGTACACCTGACAGAAAGGGAGATCAGAGGAAAAAGTAGACAGTGAACACGAGTTCTCAGAAAGTATGGTAGTCTGGTGCAGGAGCTCATAGCACGGCGTTGCCAGTAGCTTCTGAGAACTTGACCATTACTGAAAGGAGAGGTCTTTCCATGCTGGCTGTGTGACGGGTTGTTCTGATTGTCGTGCGTGCATGACTCATTTCATTCCCACCAGCGCCTGTGGACACATCCTCAGCCCTGTTTTATAGATGAAGAGCCTGTCACTTAGGTTGCCACATGCAAGTGTAGATAGGGCCGCGACCCAGGTCTGTCTGAAACTCTGGTTTGTACATTTAGCCGGCATTCTGTGTGCTCTTCCCAGTTGTTAACACAGTCAAACAGTTCAGTGAAGAAAAGAGTTAGTATGTTTGGTCCCTTAAACAGGCTGGAATGGAATTTTAGAACAATTCTTATTTAAAAATATTCAAATTAAAGTTTCTGCTCTGAAAGATGAAAGGCATTGCTTTCTAAAAAGTTGTGTAAAACTTCTCCTGCTAAGATAAATATATATTGTAAAATTTATTTAATCTAGCTAAGGTTTTGAATAAGAAACTATATCTTGATTTTGTTAATTACAGTACCTTATCTGCTGAAGGAAGTAAATTCTCTAGATAACTGTACAAGTGCTACATTCATTCTTTGTGTTGGTTTGTACTCCATCCATGCTCTTCCAACAAGGATTTAGGGCAATTACGAAATGTATGTTAATTTGTAACCAGTACAGTTGGGAACTGGTTCACTAGTTCCTTGAGAGCTGCTGTGTAGTCTCTGTGTGTCTGGAGTGGAAGCTGTGTTGTTACTGTATCTCCAGTGCCTGGAACAGTGCCTTGTAAATAAGGGTTCTGAAAGAACATCAGTTGTCGGTTTCAAAGCACTGAATTATAATTGCACGTAGTACATTGAATTTGCACTTAGAGTAATTTCTATCTTTGACTCAATTCTATACTCTTTTTAATAAATAGTATAGCCATCATTTTGAAAATTGGTTTTAAATTTGAGTGTTTTACCTATAAAAGGTGTGAGATGTGGGACCAAATTCAATCCCAATGACATACTTAAAGGTCTCTTTCTAAATCTGTTCTTATCATCACTAGCTTTTTAGTGTGGTTTTATAAAAAGAGTACAGAATGTGCTCTTGCATTTCCTGCCCTACTTGGAGTGCTTACTTAAACTATGATGCAGTGGCTTTTAAAAATCCCAGGGATCAGTCTGCCTTGCCACTTGGCAAGTTCCTTGCCCAGCCGATGCCTCCCGTGTGGGTGTTGCTGGGAAGAGTAAATGAGTCTGTGGAGTATCTGTAAATCACTTAGAACAGTGCTTGGCACATAAGGGCTCAATAAATGCCAATTATTACTTTTAGGGTTTTTATGAGGCTTAAATTAAACAAGATTATGCATGTAAAGTGTTTAGTAGAACATCTGGCTTTTATTAAGTGCTCAATAAATGCTAGTGGCACTAATTTAAATATTCAGGTGCCAATATGTCTAAAGTGGCTGTGTCTTTGGATCTCTGTGCACATGTCGTAGCTTTAATGAATTTATTATAGGATATGAGGAAAAATTCTTAGTTCTTATATTGGCTTTTCCCAATAGGTATAAGTTACAAAGTTATAAAAATTTTTAAAAAATAGGTAATTATTTTCTGATTTCTCAGTTCAGTTAATTTGTTAGGTTGCTGTCTTCTAGTTGGTGTTTATTTTTATTTTGACTGATAGCACAAGTTAGTGTTTAGTTTTCTTGACAAGGCCTGTCACTATCTAACTTGTCTTCTTCTTTTGTTATCCTCCCCATAGGTTTGTGGAATCTTGCTTCTCTCTTTTCTAACCTCTGTTTATTTGTGTTGATGCCTTTTGCCTTTTTCTTTCTGGAATCAGAAGGTTTTGCTGGCCTGAAAAAGGTAAGTGAATCTTGTTTTAGAATTATATTTATTAAATGAAGAAGTAAATATCATTCAGGCTGAACTAGAAAAAGTAGGTTAAAATGGCCATTTGACTAGAATGTAAAGAGTTTTCTTGACAATAACATCTTACTATTATCAATAATGTCAACAGTAGTATTAATGATATTGCCTATTGAATTATTTTGCATGTCCACAGGGAGCAGGTCATTTTTTAACCTTTGAATGCTTTACAGTATATGCAAATTTGGTAGAATAAACCTGATAAAATAGCTATTATTCCTTTTTTTAGAAATATGCTGTTTTAGGCTCTGGCATTTCATTTAAAGCGTGATATGAAATTCTAAAAACCTAAAAAAAATAAATTTTGATGTAAAGTTATTTCACATCCAGTGTCTTCAGGAGAGTAGCGTGTTTAAAATCAAACCATGCTCCACTAGATAGTCAAATTCTCAAGATCCCGTGACTTACTGATCTTGGGCGAATGTGGGATGATTAGAAGTGAGCAGAACAGGGAACTTTGCAAGAGTACCTTAAACCATTTATCCAGACCTTCTTAGTGGAAATAACTGTTTTTCCTTAAGTATAAGATATCAAAGTGATAGGAACATCTATAGCTTGTGGAGCTCTTTGCTCTACAATTTTGGAATATAATGCAAAGATTAAAATAGTTAATACTTTTGGGGTAACTTTTGAACTTGACAGTAGGAGTTAGTGTTACAGCTTGTTACAGACACATTACGCTTTTTAAATTTTAGTGATATGAGTGCAAGTGTGCCTGCGTATCTTACTATTGAATGATACCATAATGCAAATGAAGTAAATTTGGCATGGGAAGTTGTAAACGTGTGTGAATTACTACTTTTTATTTTACATAACTTTTTGTGGGTTCTTCAGAATGAAATTTAGTCTAACATTTGGACAACTATTCAGGTTTTAATCCTTAAGTGTAGCTCATCCTAGAGCTGTCTGTGCAGGTGCCATGACAGAATTACTGAGCGTGGTAGTTAAGGTGTTATTTCAGTGGATGTTCCTGTTTTCTAGGTCTTGTTCCACACTTTCACAGTCTGCAGATGAAAACCAAGAGTTGATTTCATTGCTAGTAAATGTACCAACATCAGAATGGGTGGTTGTATTTGGCAGTCAAACCGACATCGAGAAGACTGGCTTTTCTATATCAGACTTGTTTTTTATCATGATGTGGTTCAATCACCTATGTAACATGAAAGAATCCTATTGTTTCATTTAAAAAGTTCATAATTTCTTGAAGAAATGCTAGAACATTTTATTGCTGAGAGGGATCTAGCTCAAATCTTTCTTTAATAAGGAATAAACAGATCCAAAGATGTTAAATGTCATTGAATTACTGAAGAACTACGTATGTACAATTGCAGAACTGGTTCTAAAACCCAGGGGTTGCTTCTAGCCTTCCGAGGTGTTCGTGTTCTTCCCATGCCCACGCTGCAGAGAGCGCTGTCGGAGCCAGTGAAGTGCACCAGTCGGCCAGGCCAGATGGGGATGGAGAAGGCCCGGGCTGAGGGCTGCTGCGGGGGAGGCAGGAGAGCAGACGGAGGGTGGCCTCTGGAGGCCAGCAGACAGAGTTTCTGGGAGGTGGGATGTAGCGTACTACATTTAAGCAGGCCGAAAGGAATGAACATCGAGAAGAAATGAGATCATTGGACACACTTGGGAAAGCAATTTCTGTAGTTTTGTTTCCTTTTTTAAATTTATTGAAGTACAGTTGACATACAATATTATATTGGTTTCAGGTGTGAAACATGATTTGACAATTACATACATTTATGAATGCCTACCATGGGAAGTGTCATTATTATCACCATACAAAATTATTACAACTTCTGTAGTTATTACATCATTACTCGATTTCTCTGATGGACACTACTCATTCAACAGAATTTTACTAAGCACTTAATAAGTAATAATTCATATGCTGCTAGGGGAGCTTGCTGGAGACAGAAATGAAAAGATGGCTCCTGCTGCCACAGTAGAGTCAGAGGGAGTAAGAAGAGGTGTAAGCAAGCAGTATGCAGCATGATGACCCTTCCTACAAGCAGCTGGTGTGTCTGGGTTTTCCTAGGGACCTGGGCAGGTTTCACTAGGGAAGTCAGCCTGTGCGTGAGCCTGCACCTGAGGGAGGAACAGGCTTTTGCTAGCACGGCACTCCAGGTGCATGTGAAGGTGTGGATTCTGATCCCATCGGGGGAGTGGTTGATACTTAACTAGAGGATGGAGAATGGAGAGAGGTGAGGGTTCGTGGGAAGATCGCCAGGTCACATCCTAGAGACCTCAAGTCTCAGGTCTGCCAGTCTGGATTTTACGCTGTGGGTAATGGGAAGTTGGCACAGGATTTGTTGAAAGGAATTTTTGCATCTATGATTTCACTTAAGTGTGTTTAGAGATAAATACATGTTAGAATTTTAACATATGTCACTGAAGAAAGGAGTACACGCAGCACAATCTGAAATACTATTAAATATATTTTCATATTTGGTGTTACAGGTGTATCTACCTAGTCTATGCTTTTTATAAAAATTTAGTTATTAAACAGACTATTTTAAAGAACAGGGTGCAATGTGGACAAACCCCTTGCCTCCAAATCATTTTCCCTCCTTCTTGTGAGTTAACCAACTATAGGAGGGATTGGGCTAAATTTATTGGAGCAGAATTAGTAACCGTCTCTAGAATTTTTAAAAAACTGACACAAAAACCCAGCAGCATGTCACTATTCTCTTGTTCCCCTTTATGGACTAAGGTCAAAGGTGAGAATCAGCTTGAGGAGGGATACAAGAAGGTAATTAAAGATTTCACACTTAGAGTTGTACAGCTTATTTCCTTAAAATACATTATTTCTAGACTATACATGATTAAAAGAATATTGTTTTCTAAGCATCTTTGTATTAATTTCCTCAAAATCCTTCAAGGTCACCAGCTCCATTTCATGATCTCCAAGGAGACGGATGTGTCAAATGATTGTAAGATATAGTCGACATGACCAATCCAATTAATTTCTAAACACAGCAAAGGATTTAAAAAAAGAGTGGGAAGGCAGAGCTCAGGACAGTTGCCATTTGTCTGACTTGGGTAGCTGGGCAATCAGTGGGAGTTGTGGAAGCCACGTGAAAGAATTTGGTCTTGAGGCTGTTAGAGGAAGGAGGGGATAGGGTGTAGCATGGAGGTAGAAGTGGCAGGTTAATTCTGCCATCGGTGTTCTGAGGAGGAGGCGCCTATGGAGGGTAGGTGGGGACCAGTGTGAGGACATTTGTCCTTAGCAGCAGACTGCGGGCTTGGGGTGGTGGTGTGGCTCTCTGTAAAGTGAGGACAGTGGTGATGGTCACCGTGTTACTCAGAGCAGTCAGGAGGGAGCACATTGCCCAGGACATGTCAGCTATTACCATCATGGTTCTAGAGCATAATGCTTTTGACTAACAAGTATTCTAGGAAGTTTAATGACATATAGGATGATCAGAAATCAGCTGAATACAGTGAGTTGGCTCTTAGTTATTCACTTATTATCTTAGGCAATTTTAAGATTGCAAATTATTTTTCCCATTTTGAAATGGCATGGACTGAAACAAAATCAAACCTCTTTGAAGATAAGGTGCATTTTAGGCCCTATTAGAAATATTTAGACAACTTTGAAATTAAGGTAATGATGACATGTTCTTTTAAAACATTCATAGTTTTCAGTTGTAAAATCAATTACATGAAAGTTGCAAGGGTCACTAGCTTTGTGGATTTAGGTGTCGAGGTGGGAAGTACACGCTTGAGCCTTTCTGTTCTGTAAGATTGCAGGTAGTGAGTAGTGTGTGCAGGCCCTCAGTGCCGGCTGCCAGACTTCCGTTCTAGACGCAGAGCTGTGCGTCGTGGCGCGGTCATCGACCTGCTGCTTCATGGGTGTGAAGGTGTCCCCGACCACAGCCACTGACCTGTTCAACACACTAGCAAGTGTATTTATATTTGTGTATATCCTTTTAAAGCTCTTTGCTTATTCATGGGTTACACTTGACGTATTTAGTTACGATGATACTGAAGAGAGCTTAGAAAACATTGGGAATTGGGAAATCCAGCACAATGATTTGTGTAATGATAAACTTGTAATATGGTTAAGTTAAATTTCCTTTTTTTTCCTTTGGCTACCCTCCTGGTGCTGTTTTACTATGTCTCAGTCTTGTGGAGTCCCTCAAAGGCATATGGCCCTAGCATACTCCCACTGAGTCCCGTAGGCAATCGATTCTAAAACAGCCCCTTGCATATTGTGCCAGAGTTGCGGAAATTGGCCACTAGCCACGGGTGGGTGCAGAGCTTGAATTGAAAATCAAACTAAGCAGAATTCTCTGCTTAGTTTTTAATTAAACCACTATGTTAATTCAAACAGGACATTTTAGGCCTGGGGGGTTAACCATGCCCTTTTAAGGGCCTTAAATAGCCTTTCTTCTCTCCTTACCATAGCGTATGTTTCTGTTTTAGTAAGACTATCTTCTCGCTATTCCCATTCTTTATAATTCTCAAGGGTAAGAGAATGTAAGTAGTTTGGGTAAGCAATTTTTTTTTTAAGTAAGCGGGTAACTTTTGTCTTGGAACTCTGTTAGCAGTTAAATGTTTATCAAATTCCTGTTATTTCACTGTCACCTGTATGTATTGTAATAAGCATTGTTTGTTTATATGTGTTTGAACCCGACCCCATGCTTGTATCTTAATGTTTCAGTTTGATGAAAAGGTCGCATCTGCCGGGTTTTGTCTTGTTTTGTGGTAGAGATGCTTCACAGCTTTTGTCTCGGCCCCTCAGTGGTGTCCCAGAGCACAGGGGTCTTGGTGCTGACGGCGCTGCTGCTCCTTCACACCTCAGCTCAACTGGCGGATGTTTTTCTCCCCACTCTGCCTCAGAGAGACCTCAAGATTATCTGGGGTGATGTCAGAAGATGTTTTCTGATGGCATCATGAATTTGGAAGATCTAACCTCTGGCCAGGGTTTAAATGGG